AGAGGAAAATGCTAAGTTTACTCCACTAGCTCATAAGAAAGTATGAATTCATATGAACCCAATGGCCCAAAATGAATCTGGACCGATCTGATGGTCACGATCTTATTTTGCATTTTAATTTTAATTTTTTTTCTATAAATCCAAATAGTTTGAAATTTTAAGTATGTGTTCTTAAAAAATAGGATAATCTAATAAAATTATAAACAAAATAATTTACAACAAAAAAATTTGATCAAAATATCCATGAAATGTTTTGGAAGTATTTTGATCAATATATTTTTTACGAATTATTTTTTAAATATTTTTATTAAATACGCCTTGATGAGAAAAATGAAAGCCTGAATTTTCAATTTATTTAAACTTGTATAAAAAAAAATTAAAATTCAAACACGAAATGAAGTTATGATCATCAGATCGACTCAAATTCAATATATATATGAAAAATATTGAGATTAACCCACTAGTTCATATAAACATATGAACCCAATGGCCCATATTGAATCTGCGCTAATCTAACAGTCACGATATCATTCATCTTTGAATTTTAATGTATTTTAATAAATCCAAATAACTTAAAATTTTAGACGTGTATTTTTCAAACATATTTAATCTAATAAAAATATCATAAATATAATTTACAAGAAACAAATTTATCAAATTACCCCTAAAAATTTTTGATGTTATTTTGATCAATTTGTGTTTTGTAAATTATTTTTTAAAATATTTTTATTAAGTGTGCATTGATTAAGCATTGCTCGTATTCATGGTCTTGATGAAGTACTGGCAAGCGAATTAATAGAATTTGAAGAGAGTACAATAGACATTGCTCCAAATTTGGAATCCAATAATGTTGTCGTTCTATTAATGGGTGATGATTTAATGATACATGAAGGCAATTATGTAAAAACAACAGGAAGAATTGCTCCGATACCAGTAAGTTAAGCTTATTTAGGTTATGTTATAAATGCTCAGGCTAAACCTATTGATGGGAGATGTGAAATTTCATCTTTTAAATCTCGATTAATTGAGTGCCCCACAGCTCAAATTCAATGTGGGTTGTTGGGCTCATATGTTCATATAAACTAGTAGGTTAATCTCAACATTTTTCATATAATAAGAAATGTTGGCATAAACCCACTAATTCAAGTACAACCCAAATTCAATCTAAACTGATATGACGGTCACGACCTCTTTTCATAATTTAATTTTAATTTTTTGCTATAAATCCAAATTGCATGTAATTTTTTACGTCTATTCTTCTCATCAAGACGTAACTACTAAAAATATTAAAAAAATATTTTATATAAAATAAATTGACCAAAATACTTCTAAAATATAAAAAAATAATTATAATATTATCATAATATTATTAAAAAAAATTATAAAAAACTTTCTTACAGGATGCAATTCTTAAGTGTAACAATTATATTCATCTCTTATTGTTTTTAGCCCATGGGCTTATCCTTTGACTTGGCCTTTGAAATATGGAAGGAACCTATTTTAGGTGGTGGTTTACATGCTGGCCTTGCACACATGGGAATAAAAAGAGGTGTCCAAACGAAGTTTTAGAAGACAATAGGATTCTTTTTTAAAAGATAATGGCAAAAAAGGTAATTTTAGTCAAAGGATTTTAACGAAACTATTACTCGTCAGAAGGGCGTGAGAAAGAAACGATATGGCAAGAGAGAGAGAGGTACGCGCCCGGACTATGAATCTCGAGCAAAAGAATTATGTAAAAATTATGTCCGTACCATTTTATTTGATCGTTATTGTATAATGATTATATGTGATGCGAAGGTCATAAAATATGTGATGGTCTTTGTTCTTATGATTTTCCTATTTTTTTTTAAATTTGATGTTTTAAATATCGGACGATATTTTAAATTTATATTTTAATTTTATGATATTTATAAATGAGTTCAATGTCAAAAAATCGAATGCCAAATTTGCAGGACAACCCAATTTCTTAAAAGTACGACCATACACTTTTTAGTTGGCCCAATGTCCAAAACTTTTGAACCACTTTAAACCTTTAAAAAATGACGTTTAAATACGGTTCTATCTTAAAAAACATCGGACTACGTTTTCAATAACATGGTTTGTGTCACGTTGATGTACATAAATTAATACCAATAACATGGTTCCCTTAACATGAACCAATTAAAACTAATCAAGATCGTACATGTATCACTACTTGGTAACATTGCTCTCCCTTAATATATACCAATTAAAATTTTTCCAATTAATGTAGTGTCACACCATCATTAAACTTCTTTTTTTTTAATGTTTAAAATGGTATGACGTTTGGAATATCAAATCGACTACACAGAGTAAGGTGGTTGTGGTTCAATGGTTTTAACATCAAACCAACCTATAAATATTAAAAAAAAAATTTAAAAAAAGAGTTTGTGTAAAACTATGTTAAAAACCACGGATCAAGAGAAACTTGAAAAACAAAATAAATAAATAAATAAATGGAGAGCAAGGACCTAAATATAAATACTATATATTTTGGAGCCAGACCATAATAAGCGTAAAACGTAATAGTACGGACATAAATTTTCCATAAATAACTACACTTTGTTGCCTAGTATCAAATTAAAGCCAACATTATTACATTTAACCTAAGACCTTAAATCTCTCTCTCTTTCTCTCTGAACTTTAGCAGGAATTATCTAAAGCTAATAATTAAAAAGAAGAAGAAAGAGCTATTAACTATGCCTTCTTATATCTACGTTTGCTGATTACACCCAATTAGCTCGAGCACTAGTTTTGATTCCAAACTTCTCTTTCTTGCACCCAATTAGCTTGAAGATTACTTTTGATACCGGACTTATTTTTTTCGGTTGTTGTTCAAGCTTATCTCTACCTTCTATGGTGATTTTGTGGAAGGTAGATTGTCTAAAAGATAGATTACTAAATCAAGGGATGGACAGCATCAATCAAGATACACCTCTCCAAATAAAGGATATGATAAACAGTGTTTCTTAATGGCCCTCTTTCTCTCTCTCTTAAATAACTCCTTACTTTGAGGAAGAATGCATCTCCCAAGAAAATGGATACCATGGATTCCCATGGAATCTACTTTTTAATGTTACAAATAACTTAAATGAATATCACAATATCCATTTTTAGCATAGCACTTCACATTTGCAAACTGAAAAGTGATATAATGTCTGAGACTTCCAAACTGAGTTTTCCCAAAACTCAAACATGCCATTAGAGTCTAGGTCTAGAAATCCACGGGCGTTATTCAAGACACTTTAAAGTTAATAAGCATTTATTTGAAGAAAATCTCAACCAAAACTATTGAGAAAATCTCAAGAAGCTTGAAGCTCAGAATCGATACAATGCCAAAAAAATTACAATTTATCTCATTTTTTGGAACTGGAAGTTCAGAACCAGTTTTTCCAGTGAAAAAGGATAGGAGAATAGGTTTGTGTAGACACCTCCCCCGCCGCCCCAAAAAATATATATATATTTTTTTCTTTTTTAATTATTAATTTCTGGAACAAACTATCCCAATGCACCATAGGACACACTTAGCCATAGTTCACACACAAATTACAGCTCAGCCCTGGAATATTTGTCGAATATTTCCTTATATCTCAAATCACCCAATTTTAGGAACCAAAATCCCATAAATCCCAAGATTTAAGACATCAAAATATTCACAAAAATTCCCAAAAATCAATAGAAATCATGAACATTATGAATCTCTCATTTTAGAAGTCTAATATTCCTAAAAAATCTAAGACATGCATGTTAATATTGCCGAATCCCTAGCTAGGAAATTAGCTTTCTAAATTTAGCAATTTTAATAAACATAAGATGCAACATTCATTCCAAAAGAATGGCTTCCAAAATATTAAAAACTTGCTGGAATCACCAAAAATTCCTAAGCGAGTTTTTTACTTTTTCAACAAGAGAATACCTCTACAATATCTTTCACAAAACATCACCACCTAGAGGAAAATCATAATGCCGCTCGAGCAGTGCAATGAAAATCCACTAGCACTAGTTAAACTGCAAAGAATCACCAAGAAAGAATAACAGAGAACAATTGAAAGGAGATGGCAGGAGAATAACAGAGAACAATTGAAAAGAGATGGCAAGAGAATCGGGAGACTCGATTAAACCATAAAATAGAAGGTCGTAACCTATTGCAACTAGGCCCATCTTATAGAGAGTTGATCATCTTACATAAAGTAGATCCTTTGAATGCACAATCTGGTAAGGATACGAGTACACACTGAACACAAATTGAAGCATAAATACAAACTTCATAAATTTGAGTAGAAGATTAAGAAACCCAAACAAATCAGAACACAAAAGCAAATACAGGAATTATAATTTCCTCCAAAAATTACACCATAATTATAATCACAAAACGTCAAAGATCAACTGATCTGCAAAAAAATATCATCAAACTAAAACATGTAAAAACCTGAACCCACACAAAGGCAACACCATCCATGTTTCAGTTAACATATCTTGCTCAAATGGTTCCTGAAAACCTGTCACAAGGACAGCGACCACCAAGCTCAAGCAACTTATACAAACAAATAGAGAGGCCAATACTGCTAAGAAGCGTGACTAGGAAACAACCAGCCAAGAAGCCAATAAGATGAGGTATCACCAATACTTGAAATTGGATATGGATCTGAATTTCAATAAAAACTATGCTACAATCTCAATTCACCTTCAAAACCTCGGTAGATTCATGTCTCAAATCATGGATGAATAATGATGGCAAGATAACCATCGCTGGGCACACCAGTATCTCTTCAAAACATAATAAACATGACAAAGAGTGATAGTCCAGAGACTAGAAAACAAGAAGCCTGAATGAGGAAAAGAGCAAAATACACCATGAAGTAGAGTGTTGGATCTTCAGAGACAAAAACAACATGTTGTGGAGTGATGGACCAGGAGATAAAGGATGCTATGGCCAAATAAGTAAAAGAATATCCTATAAATCATTTATATCTTATAAATCATGGAATTCATTCATCTATCCATGTTGACTCAGACAATTAACATAGAACAACTCTAAGCTACACAACAAGAAAGAAGGTCCAATGTTGAGCCCAGAAAAATCGAACCACACTAATAGACAACTAATTTAAAACGGTCCAATGTGTTCACCACCGATTACAAGGGCAAATCACCAAGGTACCTAAGGAGATCAATCAATACAAATCAAGATTTCACAATCAACATATAAACGTTTACAACCAATGAGCAAAAAGTAAATCACTGAACCAAACTGATCCCAACCAATGAATAAGTAAAGAGAGAACAAACAACATCACCATATCCCTTCTCTTCCACCTCCGATCTCCGAAAATCCAATAAATAAATATCTCAGGTAACTTTTAATGCTCACTCCATAAGAAACCAAAAGGTCGCTAAAAGAATCAATCAAACACTAAAAAACTCAGACAACTGCAAGGCAAATAGGTCAGGGCAAGAGGCAGATCAAACCATGTTTTGCAACCAGATCTCAATTAATAACCATGTGCACCCGACCCCATTCCATTTGTGTTGGCACTTCGGGTCCAGAAGAGTCACTGTTACAGACACCAAAGATGGAAATACCTACACACCACATACATCAGGCAGAAAGCCAATATAGAGTGTATCATCCATGAAATTGACATCCAAAGATATCAAGGATAACTTACAACCCATTCAACAGAGCTCCATAAATGATACACATGTTTCTCATCTTTTAATGTTCTTGGCACTCTCGTCACCTCATACTGTCTGCATATCTTCCAGAAAGAAAGCATATAGAAACTTACCTGCCAGCCACCCAACAAAATGCTACAAGAAACTCAAATACAGATCAGCTAAAAATATGGTTGCTAGCAACATGATGCAGCCAAAACCCCTAACATAACAACAGCCAACGTATATGCATCTGAGAGATCCATAACACCTCACTATAATTTAGACATACCAAATGGAGCCCACCCAGCAGCCGTATGCCATGGAGCCCATTAAGCAAACTACCAATTCATATATAGCTCCCCCACCTACAGCATCGCCAGGCCGTAAGAGTATCATCATATAATTAACAAAGAGCGCTAGCCAACAAAAAAGGTCCAAAGTTGAATCCAGATAAATCAAACCATACTGTTTGACGACAAACTCGAAACAGCCCCATGCGTGCCACCATCTACAAGGACCGATCACTATGGTACCTTAGGAGAATAATCATTGCAAACTAAGACTTCACAATCACAAATCAAAAAAAACTGATAATAAAAGGTTTTTGAAGCCAAAGATGATAATCAAACTATACAAACACAAATCTCAAAGAAAACAAAATAAACATAGAATAAAGAGGTAACGCCCAGATACCAAAGTAACAAACACAACATAGGTTATCTAAAGAGAGAGAATAACATCGAGTATAATGATGGACAAATATACAACAGCTCCTACAGGAGCATAACTAAAGCAAATCCTGTATAAAAGGAACCACCAATAAAAAAGTAAAGAGTGAATGGACAACACCACCAAATCCACTTTATTTCACACCTCCAACATCTGAAAAACCAAAAAATGCATATCTCAGTGGACTTTTGATCCTCTTTCCATCTCAAACCAAACAGTGACTAAAAGAACATATCAATCAACAAAACACTAAACTCAAAAAACTACAATTCACATGAAAGGTTAAGGCAAGAGGCACAGATCAAACCATCTTTCACTTTGCATCCAGTTCTCAATTAACAACCCAATGTACCCGTCCCCAATCCATATGAGTTGGTGCTGCTGGTCCACCACAGGAGAGTTCACTATTACAGACACCAAAGACAGAGCTACCCTGACACCTCGTAGATCAGGCAGAAAACCAATATAGAATGTATCATCAATGTAATTGACATCCAAAGAGATCAAGGATAACTAACTACCTTTCATCAGAGCTCTATAAATGGTAATGATGTTCCTAGCACTCCCGTCACCTCAAACAGTCCGCATGTTCCAGTCAGAAAGCATAAAGAAACCCAACTGCCAGTCATCAAGAAAAATGCAACAACAAACTGGAATACAAATCAACTAACAATATGGTTGTAACCACCATGATGCAGCCTAAACCCCCAACATAACAGCCAATGTATATACCTTTGAGAGATCCAAAACACTAAACTTAAATTAAACCATACTAAATAGAGCCCAAACAGCAGCCGAATGCAATGGATCCCATTGGGGATAAAAACCGATTGATATATAGCTCCCCCACCTACAGCATCACGAGACACAAGCGTATAATCATATAATTAACAAAGAGCAACTCTAGGCTAGACAACAAGAAAGAAGGTCCAAAGTTGGGCCCAAATAAATCATGGTACCTAAGGAGAACAATCAATATGTGTTCCCCACCCATTACAAGGGCAAATCATCAAGGAACCTAAGGAGAACAATCAATACAAATCAAGATTTCACAATCATCATATAAACATTTACAACCAATGAGCAAAAGCAATAACACTGTACCACATTGATCCAAACCAATAAAAAGTAAAGAGAGAACGGACAACATCACCATATCCCTTCTCTTCCACCTCCGATTGCTGAAATCCAATAAATAAATACCTCACGTACAACTTTTCATGCCCATTCCATCTGAAACCAAAAGGTCGCTGGAAGAATCAATCCAACACTAGACAACTCAGACAACTGCAAGTCAAATAGGTCAAGGCAAAAGGCAGATCAAACAATCGTTTGCAACCAGATCTCAATTAATAACCATGTGCACCCGACCCATTCCATTTGTATTGGCGCTATTAGTACAGAAGACTTACAGTTACTGACCCCAAGGATGGAACTACATACACACCTCATAGATCAGGCAGAAAGCCAATAGAGTGCATCATCCATGAAATTGAAATCCAAAGATATCAAGGATAACTTACGCCCATTCAACAGAGCTCCATAAATGGTACACATGTTTCTGATCTTTGAATGTTCTTGGCACACTCGTCACCTCATACTGTCTGCATATCTTTCAGCAAGAAAGCATATAAAAACTTAACTGCCAGCCACCCAACAAAATGCTACAAGAAACTCAAATACAGATCAGCTAAAAATATGGTTGCTAGCTACATGATGCAGCCAAAACCCCTAACATAACAACAGCCAACGTATATACATCTGAGAGATCCATAACACTTCACTATAATTTAGACATACCAAATGGAGCCCACCCAGCAGCCGTATGCCATGGAGCCCATTAAGCAAACTACCAATTCATATATAGCTCCCCCACCTACAGCATCGCCAGGGCGTAAAGAGTATCATCATATAATTAACAAAGAGCAACTCTAGGCTAGCCAACAAGAAAGGTCCAAAGTTGAATCTAGATAAATAAAACCACACTGCTAGACAACAAACTCGAAACGGTCCCATGTGTGCCATTGTCAGCAAGGACCAATCACCATGGTACCAAAGGAGAATAGTAATTGCAAACTAAGACTTCACAATCACCAAAAAAAAAAAAAACAGATTACAAAATGTACTGAAGCCAAAGATGATAATCAAACTATACAAACACAAATCGCAAGGAAAACAAAATAAACATAGAATAAATAGGTAATGCCCAGATACCAAAGTAACAAAAAAAACATAGTGTCAAGAGCTCATTTAAAGAGAGAATAGCATCGAGTATAGTGATGGACCAATATACAACAGCTCCTACGGGAGCTCAACTAAAGAAAATCTTGAATAAAAAAAACCACCAATAACAAAGTAAAGAGTGAATGGACAACAACACCAAATCCCCATTATTCCACATCTCCAATATCTGAAAAAAAAAAAAATGGTACCCAAGGAGAACAATCATTACAAATCAAGATTTCACAATCATCATATAAACATTTACAACCAATGAGCAAAAGCAATAACACTGTACCACATTGATCCAAACCAATAAAAAGTAAAAAGAGATCGGACAACATCCACCTCCGATCGCCGAAACGCAATAAATAAATATCTCAAGTATAACTTTTCATGCCCATTCCAATTGAAACCAAAAGGTCGCTAGAAGAATCAATCCAACAGTAGACAACTCAGACAACAGCAAGTCAAATAGGTCAAGGCAAGAGGCAGATCAAACCATCGTTTGCAACCAGATCTCAATTAAAAACCATGTGCACCTGACCCATTCCATTTGTATTGGTGCTATTAGTCAAGAAGACTCGCTGTTACAGACCCTAAGGATGGAACTACATACACACCTCATAGATCAGGCAGAAAGCCAATAGAGTGCATCATCCATGAAATTAACATCCAAAGATATCAAGGATAACTTACACCCATTCAACAGAGCTCCATAAATGGTACAAATGTTTCTGATATTTGAATGATCTTGGCACTCTCGTCACCTCATACTGTCCGCGTATCTTTCAGCAAGAAAGCATATAGAAACTTAACTGCCAGCCACCCAACAAAATGCTACAGAAAACTCAAATACAGATCAGCTAAAAATATGGTTGCTAGCAACATGATGCAGCCAAAACCCCTAACATAACAACAGCCAATGTATATACATCTGAGAGATCCATAACACTTCACAATAATTTAGATATACCAAACGGAGCCCACCCAGCAGCCGTATGCCATGGAGCCCATTAAGCAAACTACCAATTCATATATAGCTCCCCCACCAACAACATCGCCTGGCCGTAAGAGTTTCATCATATAATTAACAAAGAGCAACTCTAAGCTAGCCAACAAGAAAGGTCCAAAGTTGAATCCAGATAAATCAAACCACACTGCTAGACAACAAACTCGAAACGGCCCCATGTGTGCCACTGTCTGCAAGGACCAATCACCATGGTACCTAAGGAGAATAATCATTGCAAACTAAGACTACAGAATCACGAAAAAAAAACAGATTACAAAATGTACTGAAGCCAAAGATGACAATCAAATTATACAAACACAAATCTCAAGGCAAACAAAATAAACATAGAATAAATAGGTAACGCCCAGATACCAAAGTAACAAGCAAAACATAGTGTCAAGAGCTTAATTAAAGAGAGAGAATAGCATCGAGTATAGTGATGGACCAATATACAACAGCTCCTACAGGGCTCAACTTAAGAAAATCTTGAATAAAAGGAACCACCAATAACAAAGTAAAGAGTGAATGGACAGCACCACCAAATCCACATCTCCAATATCTGAAAAACCAAAAAATGTATATCTCAGTTGACTTTTGATCCTCTTTCCATCTCAAACCAAACGGTGACTAAAAGAACGTATAAATCAAACCAACACAAAACTAAAAAAACAACAATTCACATGAAAGGTCAGGACAAGAGGCACAGATCAAACCATCTTTCACTTTGCATCCAGTTCTCAATTAACAACCCAATGTACCCGTCCCCATTCCATGTGTGTTAGAGCTCCTGGTCCACCACTGGAGAGTTCACTGTTACAAACACCAAAGACGGAGCTACCCAAACACCTCATAGATCAGGCAGAAAACCAATATAGAATATATCATCAATGAAATTGACATCCAAAGAGATCAAGGATAACCTACGACCATTTATCACAGCTCTATAAATGGTAAACGATGTTCCTAGCACTGCTGTCAACTCAAACAATCCGCATGTCCCAGTCAGAAAGCATAGAGAAACCCAACTGCCAATCGTCGAGAAAAATGCAACAACAAACTGAAATACAAATCAACTAACCAAATGGTTGTTACCACCATGATGCAGCCTAAACCCCCAACAAAACAGCCAATCTATATGCATTTGAGAGATCCAAAACGCTAGGCTTAAATTAAACCAAACTAAATAGAGCCCACACACCAGCCGAATGCAATGGATCCCATTCGGAAAAAAACCGAATGATATATAGCTCCGAAACCAACAGCATCGCGGGACACAAGCATATAAACATATAATTAAATAAGAGCAACACTAGGCTAGAAAACAAGAAAGAAGGTCCAAAGTTGGGTCCAAATAAATCAAACCACACTGCTAGACAACAAACTCGAAATAGTCCAATGTGCTCCTCACCGATTACAAGGGCAAATCATCATGGTACCTAAGGAGAACAATTAATACAAATTAAGATTTCACAATCAACAGATAAACATTTACAACCAATGAGCAAAAGCCACAACACTGTACCAAACTGATCCCGTCCAATAAAAAGCAAAGAGAGAACAGACAACATCATCATATCCCTTCTCTTCAACCTCCAATCGCAGAAAATCCAATAAATAAATATCTTAGGTATAAATTTTCATGCCATTCCATCTGAAACCAAAAGGCCGCTGGAAGAATCAATCCAACACCAGACAACTGCAAATCAAATAGGTCAAGGCAAGAGGCAGATCAAACCATCTTTTGCAACCAGAACTCAATTAATAACCATGTGAACCCGACCCCATTTCATTTGAGTTGGGGTTATTGGTCCAGAATACTCACTGTTACAGACCCCAAGGATGGAACTACCTACACACCTCATAGATCAGGAAGAAAGCCAATAGAGTGCATTATACATGAAAATGACATCCAAAGATATCAAGTATAACTTATGCTCATTCAACAGAGCTCCATAAATGGTACACATGTTTCTGATATTTGAATGTTCTTGGCACTCTCGTCACCTCATACTGTCCGCATATCTTCCAGAAAGAAAGCCTATAGAAACTTAACTGCCAACCACCCAATAAAATGCTACAGGAAACTCAAATACAGATCAGCTATAAATATGGTTGCTAGCAACATGATGCAGCCAAAACCCCTAACATAACAACAGCCAACGTATATACATCTGAGAGATCCATAACACTTCACTATAATTTAGACATACCAAATGGAGCCCACCCAGCAGCCGAATATCATGGAGCCCTTTAAGGAGACCATCAATTCATATATAGCTCCCCCACCTACAGCATCGCCAAGCCGAAAGAGTATCATCATATAATTAACTAAGAGCAACTCTAGGCTAACCAAAAAGAAAGGTCCAAAGTTGAATCCAGATAAATCAAACCACACTGCTAGACAACAAACTCGAAACGGCCCCATGCAAGGACAATCACCATTGTACCTAAGGAGAATAATCATTGCAAACTCAGACTTCACAATCACAAACACATAATAGTTTAAAGAGCTTATTTAGAGAGAGAGAATAGCATCGAGTATAGTGATGGATCAATATACAACAGCTCCTACAGGAGCTCATCTAAAGAAAATCCTGAAAAAAAGGAACCACCAATAAAAACGTAAAGAGTTAATGGACAACACCACCAAATCCCCTTATTCCACACCTCCAATATCTGAAAAACAAAAAAATGCATATCTCAGATGACTTTTTATCCTCTTTCCATCTCAAACCAAACAGTGACTAAAAGAACGTATCAATCAAACCAACACTAAACTCAAAAAACTACAATTCACATGAAAGATTAAGGCAAGAGGCACAGATTAAACCATCTTTCAGTTTGCATCCAGTTCTCAATTAACAACCCAATGTACCCGTCCCCAATCCATATGAGTTGGTGCTGCTGGTCCACCACAGGAGAGTTCACTATTACAGACACCAAAGACGGAGCTACCCTGACACCTCGTAGATCAGGCAGAAAACAAATATAGAATGTATCATCAATGAAATTGACATCCAAAGAGATCAAGGATAACTTACGACCTTTCATCAGAGCTCTATAAATGGAAAATGATGTTCCTAGCACTCCCGTCACCTCAAACAGTCCGCATGTAACAGTCCGCATGTTCCAGTCAGAAGGCATAAAGAAACCCAACTGCCAGTCATCAAGAAAAATGCAACAACAAACTGGAATACAAATCAACTAACAATATGGTTGCAACCACCATGATGCAGCCTAAACCCCCAACATAACAGCCAATGTATATACCTTTGAGAGATCCATAACACTAAACTATAATTAAACCATACTAAATAAAACCCACACAGCAGTCGTATGCAATGGATCCCATTGGCCAAACCGATCAACAAATAGCTCCTCCACCTACAGCATCGCGGAACACAAGCGTGTAATCATATAATTAACAAAGAGCAACTCTAGGCTAGACAACAAGAAAGAAGGTCCATAGTTGGGTCCAAATAAATCAAACCACACTGCTAGATTACAAACTCGAAACAGTCTAATGTGTTCCCCACCGATTACAAGGGCAAATCATCATGGTACCTATGCAGGACAATCAATACAAATAAAGATTTCACAATCAGCATATAAACATTTACAACCAGTGAGAAAAAACGATATCACTGTACCAAACTGATCCCGACCAATAAAAAAGCAAAGAGAGAACGGACAACATCACCATATCCCTTCCTTTCCACCTCTGATCTCTGAAAATCCAATAAATAAATATCTCAGGTAACTTTTCATGCTCATTCCATCCGAAACCAAAAGGTAGCTGGAAGAATCAATACAACACTAGACAACTCAGACAACTGCAAGTCGAATAGGACAAGGCAAGAGGCAGATCAAACCATCTCTTGAAACCAGATCTCAATTAAAAACCATGTGCACCCGACCCATTCCAGTTGTGTATCATACAAGAAATTGACATTCGAAGAAATCAAGCATAACTTACACCCATTCAACAAAGCTCCATAAATGGTACACATGTTTCTGATCTTTGAATGTTCTTGGCACTCTCGTCACCTCATACTGTCCACATATTTTCCAGCAAGAAAGCATAGAGAAACCTAACTGCCAGTCGCCCAAAAAAATGCTACAGGAAACTCAAATACTGATCAGCTAAAAATATGGTTGCTAGCAACATGATGCAGCCAAAACCCCTAACATAACAACAGCATACGTATATACATTTGAGAGATCCATAACACTTCACTATAATATAAAATGACCAAATGGAGCCCACCCAACAGCCATATGCCATGGAGCCCGTTAAGCAAACAACCAATAGATATATAGCTCGCCCACCTAAAGCATCGCCAGGCCGCAAAAGTATCATCATATAATTAGAAAAGATCAACTTTAGGCTAGCCAACAAGAGAGGTCCAAAGTTGAATCCAGATAAATCAAACAACACTGCTAGAATACAAACTCGAAACTGCCCCATGTGTGCCACTGTCTGAAAGGACCAATCACCATAGTACCTAAGGAGAAGAATCATTGCAAACTAAGACTTCACAATCAAAAATCGAAAAGAAAAGATAACAAACTATGCTGAAGACAAAGATGACAATCAAACTATGCAAACACAAATCTCAAGGAAAACCAAATAAACAAAGAATAAAGAGGTAACGCCCAAATAGCAAACTAACAAACACAACATATTGTCAAGTGGTTAATTAAAGTGAAAGAATAGCATCGAGTATTGTGATAGACGAACATACAACAGCTCCTATCGGAGCTCCACTAAAGAAAATCCTAAATAAAAGGAACCACCAATAAAACAGTAAAGAGTGAATGGACAACACCACCAAATCCCATCTATTCCACACCTCAAATATATGAAAAAACAAAAAATGCATATCTCAATTGACTTTAGATCCACTTTCTATCTCAAACCAAACGGTCACTTAAAGAACATATAAATCAAACCAACACTAAACTCGAAAAACTACAATTCACATGAAAGGTCAGGACAAGAGGCAAAGATCAAACCATCTTTCACATTGCATCCAGTTCTCAATTAACAACCCAATGTACCCGTCCCCAATCCATATGAGTTGGTGCTGCTGGTCCACCACAGGAGAGTTCACTATTACAGACACCAAAGACGGAGCTACCCTGACACCTCGTAGATCAGGCAGTAAACAAATATAGAATGTATCATCAATGAAATTGACATCCAAAGATATCGAAGATAACTTACGACCATTCACCAGAGCTCTATAATGGTAAACGATGTTCCTAGCACTCCCGTCACCTCAAACAGTCCGCATGTAACAGTCCGCATGTTCCAGTCAGAAAGCATAAACAAACCCAACAGCCAGTCATCAAGAAAAATGCAACAACAACCTGGAATACAAATCAACTAACAATATGGTTGTAACCACCATGATGCAGCCTAAACCCCCAACATAACAGCCAATGTATATACCTTTGATAATTAAACCATACTAAATAGAACCCACACAGCAGTCGTATGCAATGGATAACATTGGCCAAACAACCGATCAACATATAGCTCCTCCACCTACAGCATCGCGGGACACAAGCG